AAGCACTCAGTCCGTGGATCAAACCCCGGAGCGATCATCATCCAAGACAACCAGGCCTCCCAGTTTTTCATGTCCTTATCGGGACCGGACTCATTTAAGAAGGTAAAAGCACTGGCTTCTCCATGGGCTGGCCACCGCAAGTCATTGTATGGGCCACATGCAAATTCAATCGCTGCTACGATTTTGATCAAAATCAAATGCCTTAGAGCATCCCAAAGAGGAGATCTACCAACAGAAAAGACTTTTTCTGTTGCATGATTGGTCCATTTAAAAAAACTCAGAAAATCTGCTCACATTCGGCCGGCTTTCCCGTTTGGATGATACAATGATCCATCCTATCGGAGAACAATCGATAATTGTCGATCCACTTTCGATCTTGTGATAGGTGTCGATATGTCATAGTCGCAATAAAATCGAATACCTGTAACATCGCAACATCAGTAATCCACTTGATTATCAAAAAAATTGGCAACACTACAAGGAAAAATAATTCCATTGAAAACGGTATAGATGCATATTGATTCACCAGATGAGGCCGTCACGGTAACGCGCACATACTCATGTCGCCCAGTTCCCAAACTATGTACGCAAATCAATCTCAATGATTTGGATGGTTACTGATTACGACACGATAGAGGAGGTTACGAAGGGGGACGGTCAAGTCGTGTGTCCGAGGGTGCGCGCGGCAAACTGTGCGGCGAAACCCACAGCTATTCTGACGACTTTAGCGCCTATTATTTGGGCCCAATTTCGAAGTACAGTAGAGTAGTAGGACCTTACTAATCTACCTTACTTCAGATTTGGGCCCCAATGATAGGCGCCGGAGTCGTCCAAATTCGCCACGAACTTCGTCGCGCAATTTGCCGCGCGCACCCTCGGACGCACGACTTGACACACACCCGGTTACGAACACTCGCATGTAAAACGATAGGTTATTGGCACTAATAAGGAGAAATAGATGCTGGATTGAAAGAACGTAAAAAAACAAAAGTGATCGATTGGAGCCAAAGCCAACAATCAATAAACATGCTTAACTTTTTACAAAATAATCTATATCGATCCAAGTCGGTATCTATTAATTCGGGAAAGTACGAGATGAAAATCCGACACCAGAAATGGGAATCATAATGGAAAAGTGACGCGACACTGGCGATTGCATCATCAGAAATCAATCCCACTCAGGGGATGATCCCATCGATTGCCGATAGATCAAACGACGAACTGTTGCCGGTAAACCCGGAATCTTTATCGCTCTCATGGGCGCATAAATTTTGATGCAACGACTCCCATTCGGTGATTCATTCCCGATTCCATGTGGGAAAGAGCAAGGCCTCAGTATTGAGGAAGAAGCGTTTAGAAGTGGCACCTTAAGTTCCTGGTTCTTCTCTCCCTATTCTAGACGGTGTGAGCTCATAGAAAACACGACAATTTAAATCAGTTCCTCAATTACTATCCTATAGACCGATTGTTTGTATCAAAACTTCAATAAAGTCGATAAAAAGAAAGGAGAGAAATCAAAAATCGATAAGAAAACTTTTAAAGAGTAATTGACACGGCCCTGCACCAGCAGAAAACGATGCCATTCTGAGCATGACCGCATCGACTGTCGGTAGATCAAACAGCAGACTGCTGCTGCTGCTGCTAATCTCGAGAGCTTCATCCTTCACATAGGGTTTGACAAAAAGTTCGAAGAAAGCTTTTTTTAGACGATTTTATGAGGGAAAAAATAAAATTCCAGTTGATTCTCACGGCTGTCTTACTTCTGCTTCCCACTGCTATCAGTTGCAAATTTAGTGGAGTACCTGCTACTCAGTACTGGTTCGAAGTAATCGGAGGATTAAAAGTGAAAGTGGAAATGAATTTTCCAATGAAATTTGAATTTTTCTTATTCAGCGACACTTCATTCTGGTCCCTACCTTGGGACTGGTCACTGGAGATGGTTTAGTGGCAAGTGGCGCACAATCAGCAACACATGGGCCTTGGATCAAATCCCAGCGAGGCAACCTTAGCCTTCCAAGCCTTCCAACCCTTCAGGTTCGGTTTATTGATCACGAACTAGACGGGGAGAGTGAGGCATCGACTGGAAACCTTTACTCAGCGCATGGGCCCATACCCATTCAATCACGTCGGTAGTTCTACTTTGATGGCGGACGCAGGACGTATTCGAATTTGAAATCGATCAATACTACTGACCACATCTTTTTTTCATTTCGAACTGTCTTTTAGGCATGTCTTGAGCCCCAAAAAGAGAGAAATATCAAAAAATAGTATAATTATTATTATCAAATCATTTTTCCCTTATTATGACAAAACATGCGCATTATTGAAGCTTTTGCTGTCGGGGGCAGTGGGGCTTTCTCGTCATTGTGGTAATCTCGACGCTCATTCAGACAGCCACTCGAAAGACTCATTTTAATCCTCCGCAGGCTGCCTCGTCGTTCAACGTCCCTCTTCGAGATGCCGTCGTCTCCTCCGCCACCGCCGCCGACTTCGCCCCAGGCGACGTAACCTCTTCAGATTCAGCTCTCAACAAATTCCATAATATGGCTATAGACTGCTTTCATTGATTGGTCCATAAATTTGAAAAAAAANAAAAAAAATCGATTTTTGCAATCTCATATTACCGTATTCCTGTGACGTCATGAGAGGGTGGAAAGTGATTACAATGTCATGATTGAAGGCACTTAAATATGATTAGATTGAATTTTTGCTGGCCTGTCAGAGTTCCTCTGAATCTACACGGCTTCTCTACTCAGCCTCCTCTTTTTTTCTGAAAATTTGTGAATTCAGTGGTTGTATGCCATTTATGGTAGCTGTCAGGCGTGAATGTGTTTGTCCGATCGATTGCTAGAGATTCCATCTTATCTTTTCAAAGGTCTTAGGCTTTGGACGGAGAACAGAGCCCTAGCGTTTGTCATGTTGCCTGGAAATCATTAAAGCCTTTCGGAAGGCTTATTGATCCTTTCCCTTACAGCAACATTACGGTACCGCTTACCTTCAAAGGCTAAAATTACTGTATCGCTCATCTTCGAAGGTTAAAAACAATGGACTTAATACTGGGAGATAACATAAAACCGCAGGAAGCAAATCTCAGAAAATCCCAGTACAAAAATCGTTCCTATTAGTTCCCTTTTCACAACACATCAAATTCTCTTCGTTTCCGATCCCCTAACGGTAGGACAGGGGAAACTAGCAATACAACCCCTTCCATGGACATACGACCAGATCCCATCAGGTTCTTACCCTGAGCATTTTATAGATTCCCGGACAATTTGCTAGTAACAGTCATGCCATTGAGCTAAAGCGTCGCTTAAGCGGTTTCAATCCTCTCAGTCACCCCTTTCACATTATGTCACTGCAGGAGTCTATCGGAACTTATTATTTATTTATTTTATTTGCGCACCTAATTAGACGCGTTTAAGCAAATAAACAAAGAACTCATAAACCATAAAAGGCCTTGTTGATTAACCTATGAAGAACAGGAAAGTCAAAGATGCAATCGAGTTAGCTAGCAGAGGATTCTACGAACTCATTGTGTAGGAATACCAGTTATTCTGGGACCGTCACGCATTGGGTACTCGTCTGTTACGGATCATTTATAGATACCCTCTTTCCATATATCCCCAGTGTAAATCCATAAATATCCAGAGGAAACTGAAAACCCATTACTATGCTTCGTTAAAGATGCCCTTCTCGTCGTTGACGTCCCCATAGCAGCCTAGGGAAGGTAACTCAGGACGGTAAATTTTTTTGTAACCCTTCTTCCTTCAGTAATAATAGCAATCAGATGTGTTCTATATGTTTACTTTTTATTTACTTATATGTTTACTACAGGCTTACGAGATATGCCAATTTCTGCTGTTACCACATTCTCACCCGTCGATGAAAGTCCAGACTGGACTCCACCCTCAAGACCGACCAAACCTTACCCATCAGTCTTACTTAACTTCATAAGGTGGTTTCGGTGGGAGTATATTCACATTAAAGAGATAGACATTGATTCCCCATAATTATAGTATTCGAAAATTCTGAACAAATCCATCCACTATCGATTACCCTTATGTCAGTCTTCCTAAGCCAAAGAAAACCAATATCTATTTACGTCCCCGTTGCATAGTCCAATAACCCATTACAATCTGATCGTTACGGCAGCTGCCAATGGTAGCACTAACGATGGAAGTAATGTGTTGAAATGTTTTTTCCCAAATCCCATGCTCTCCTAGCAGACAAAATATGAATTATTACTCTGTGCAGGAGTTTCACTACAACCTGCGTCCCTAATGTACATCTTACACCCGTTCCACCCGTCATCCCGGCGTGTATCTGGCATCCCCTCCATCACCCAATAGGTTCCACTACGTGAACACGTTCAAACGTTGGTGTACACCATATACGGTATCGATCGCCGCGCGCGTAGTCCAGGCGTTGCACCAGTGGCTTCGAGACGAGTCGCTACTGTTCGCAGCAAAACTATAAACGCTGTTTTGAAGCCTCCTCCAATTCAACTGCAAACTGTGAAGTTGTGAGTTTCTCGACTCGGGTGGCATCAAGGCATCTATCATCATCATGTATCCACCTTTGCCTGTTACCGTTTACCGAGATAGTGCTCGTTTGCTCGCTGCATTGATGCAAATCGCCTGATGATCGCCTAGTCAGTAATTAACTTAGTTCTGAGACAAGGAGCTGGGTGCTTGAGAGTAGACGGCATAACGTGCATGATGTAAAGCATCGCCGATCAGCAGGTTTTTGTCTAGTTGTCTCGTACGAGAACCAACCGTTCAAGAGGCGATATCGAGTCCCATTATGAGCTGCAGCGATAACTCGAACCACCATAACACTCTTTCCTTCAGCCTTCCTCTGCCCCAGCTTCACCCTCGTTCTCACTATACTCTCTTTCTCTCTCTCTGCCTTTTCGATGCTGTGAGAGGTACATACGTCACGCGAAGCTCCTTTGTAAAAGGTTTTGAGGAGTTTTTCGTCAGTAAAAGGTTGTTCAGGTCATGACTCAGAGGTTGCAAACACTTCAAGACTGGAGCAACAAGCATGTCTTCACCGCATCGCTTGACTATTGGAATCAAGATCCGCCAGAAACAGAGTCATTCGGTTTGCGACCGAAGCGGCCACCTCCGCCTAGTAAATATGGTTAGTCTACTGCAGCGTACAACAGTTACGAACTTTGTCATGAAGTAAGCTCCCTCTAAGACAGCATCACTCCATGAGACAATCTGACGTGAGGCCCATCGCAACAAGAGACCCTTTTACAACTGTAACTCATAGTCTCTTCTTTGGTTCAGTTCACAATGAACTGATAATGATCAGTAGGAATTAATGTGGCTTTAATAATCCACTGCAGAGATCCCACCCACTGAAGAAAGTGGTCCACCCACTGCAGAAACCCCACCCACAGAAGAAAGTGTGAAATTTTGACATATTTCAGGAACAATTTCATGCAATAAATGAACTTTCCCTCTTACGCATACTTAATACAGGTACTGTGGAGGAAGGTCCTGAAGATGAAGCTGAATCGCCTGCCGAAGTGGACACTATCGTTGAGGACCCACATGCAGGAGGTGAACCAATCACAGCACTACAAGCCGCCTGGAACGTTACCAACGCTATACAAGGAATGTTCATAGTGGGACTGCCCATAGCTGTGAAGGTATCATATAAAAGCCCTCGAAATCCTTTAGAATCCTCCAAAAAACCACAAAAAATCTTCCAGTCGATTAATTGGACTTATTGGTCAGAAAGAGATAAAATTAGTGGTTGTCATGGTCCACTATTGACCTCGACTGTAAAAGCAAGTAACCCCGAGCGGCGATTGAATAGATGAACCACCCAAACCCGACGTTCATGGGTTCTTATCGAGAAAACACAAAAAAGCAGCGTCACCTGAAGATGAAATTTCGCGATGTGTGACGAATCAAGCTCGCCGCCGCCTCGCGACTACATGGCTGAACTGATGCTGGGAGTATAAACGCTCTCGGCCTCGAGAGATGTTAGCTAGATTCAAATGTAGGATCCTTGAAAAGACTTGGGTATGAAGCGTCTCATTCTCTTCGCAAATTGATTGGGAGACCGACGCATAGTTCGAATCCTATCCATGCTTAGCAGTGAAAAAACAGATTTTATGGAAATTTTGGCGTTAGACATCCCTATTTTGTTATGAAGTCGATATGTCTAGGCTTTCGAAATTTCCGATATGAATTGTATTGTTATTGTTTGTTTACCAAGACTAGGAATAGCTTGTGCCACCGTAGATTTCAATCATGCGGCATTTGAGCGAGTTTTAAGCCCGACGCGGCCCGGCCGATTTCGATTATTTGTCATAGAGGCTTAAAATGCAATAGGCAAAAGACAACAAGAATTTTAAGAGTTCGGGAAAAGATAGAGTGTAATAGAAACATTCTGGAGTATTCCAAGAACCAGGTTTCTTCGCTGAACCATGGAAAACATAGGTATCGATTATGCGACAAGGAAATTTCAATTTACTGAGAGTGTTGAACAATGAAACCTTTCAATCATATCCATTTCAGGTTGGTGGATGGTGGTCAGTCTTTGCAATGATGGGTGTGGCTTACATATGCTACTGGACCGGAGTGCTACTGATTGAATGCCTCTACGAGAATGACAAGAAGATTCGGTTCAGCTATCGAGAAGTGAGTTTCTTCGAGACGTCACTATCCCAGCCTTCACCCTAATCACTAGCCGGGTGTCCATTTCCGTGTAAGCCAAAAAATGATCTTACCACGGAATTTGTAGTTGAGAGGCCAGCAATTTTGGCGGACCCTCACTCTATGGCGTTATTCTAAATGTGTCCACTGTGTGAAGAAAACCTAAGCCATGGCGCGTTCCTGAGGGCTTCCCGAAAGGCTCAGCTATTCATCCTTCGGTTAAGTAGAAGTTAGGGAGAGGGAAACATGAATTCGCTTAACCTGGCAGACTAGAATTTCTTTCGTATCTTCCTTTTTGTAAAATGATATTTGTTGATGACGGTCACCTTCCCGAAATACCCGGACCTGAGCCGCCAGCAAAACAGGCGCTTTCATGACTGATTAATTGACTCTGTATTTGAAAGAAAAGCCCAATAAGAAATCGATTTATAACGTACACCGTTCTCAGGTAGCCGAGTTCTATCGAGCCGGTTTCGGTAAGTGGGTATTGGCCGCTCAGCTCACTGAGCTACTTTCCACATGCATCATCTATTTGGTATTGGCCGCAGATCTGCTTCAGAGCTGTTTCCCAAGCATCGGTGAGTTTCCTAAGTCATATTTGCCAAAAGCTATCCTTATGTATTGACTGGGCGAAGCCACATCATGCTCAGAGGGGACAGGTTGCCACGTCCAGCCAGTACCTTTCCCTACCCCACCCCATAGTACCGCACCGGCCAACATGAAGGGGAGGGCATTTTTACTGAATGAATTCATTCACAGACGCACCTCAGCCTAACACAATCACAACAAATATGTCTTTTCACAAATGGTCCCTACACGTGTTTGACCTGCCCTTTGCCCAGCACCTACACCTAGTTACGCATACCCAATTCAAGAGCCTCCAAGCGCTAGCAGTAAATCGGGTGCAACGTCCCACGCCTCCTTACCAACCCTTTGTACTTTACCTTCGTGTTACACAATTTTCTATTCAGACAAGCCAGCATGGATGATGCTGGTTTCTGCCATTCTGCTAGCATGTGCTTTTCTCGATTCACTCGTCGTCGTCTCACAGCTGTCGTTTGCTAACGCTATCTCTCATTTGGTCGTGAACGCTATCATGATGATTTACTGTTTGGCCAAGGTGAATTCGTGTATTCCATAAGTATTGATTGATATCCCGGAAGACGAGGATTTGAGGTTCGCTCATGGTCGATCTCTTCGGTGACATTCGCTCTTGACATCAACACCTTACCAACCATGATTGGAGTGGTCGTGTTCGGCTACACATCGCATATTTTCCTTCCAAGTCTTGAAGGAAACATGAAGGCAAGAAATTTAGTTATTTCATTTGGATGAGATCCCGGGGGGTGAATGAGCCTCCAACAATGCACGATAAAAAAATGTAATTAACACTGGCATGAGTTTGAGCTTCTAGTGGAGTGGACGAGTTCTCCCATGGCAATATTGCTCCAATGACAAAATCGAGTTGCAAAATTTTAGGGTGTAGGTCCCTACAGTAATCTCACTCTAGGTCCTGGCTCGGACATGACGCAGCGTGCGTGGCGGTACCTCTCCCCACATTCCCACGGCAAACGGCAGTTATTCGCGGTAATTACCGTGTCCCTCCGCTGGAACTTCAAACCTTCCTCTTCAAAGCGCGCGACGAAGCGCGATCGATTGCGTCGAACGCGACGCGAAGAGGGGAGAAGTTACCACATCTACGTGACGTAACAAGAAAGCGTCATGTCAAAGGCATAGGCATGACGTCCGTCAAGTCCTGCGTCTATTGCATTCTATTTCACGCAAGATTAGTTTACTGTAAGGAACAGGTTCCCATCCTAAATTTTCGTGGTTATAATTGTACTATTTGACCGTGTTGCTTTATGATGATGTTTTTCAAGGAACCGAAAGAGTTCAAATGGATGCTGAAGTGGTCACATGTGGCTGCCGCACTGTTCAAGGCGATCTTTGGACTTTGTGGTTTTCTTACATTTGGCGAACTAACACAGGTTGAACTAGTTGTCCAGTGTTTCACCTTCCTTCCAATAAGTAATACTATTTAAGCCAGAAATCTCCAATTCACTGCCAAACCAAGGTTTCAAAGTCGTCGTTAATCTGGTGCTCGTCATCAAAGCTCTACTCTCATATCCGTTGCCATTCTATGCTGCTGTACAACTGCTGAAGGATAATTTATTCCGTGGAACTAAAACAACGCCATTTACAGGGTATGATAACTTTTCCAATTGTTACTCTAGTGCTAAGCGGCTCTTCGAAGTGTAGCTCGATTCATAATCGAGAATATTGTTGAGCATTTGAATCAATGGGCTCGTTCATAGTACGGGCGTCCTGCCATCGACGTCGGCGTTGCCCTTCGATCGATACCCCGCAGGTTGACGACTCATTAAGTAGGCTGAAGGCGTATAGCGAACAAGTAATAAGGGATGGTTTTGGTATAAACGTTTCAATTCGCTATCGCAAGCGGAGAGGTTAGGTTTTCATTTCCTAATAAAGTGTCCTAACAAAAAAACAGAAAGGAAGGAGTATGATTGCAATTTCTGTGTAAAGCCCGTGACCGTCTGAGTGTCCAACATGATGGCACTATTTCCGACATGACGACAATCGATCGGCGTCGACGCCGGCATAGGCGTCCCACTATGAATGCGCCTATTTGCAATGAAAATTTATGGAGTCGTGAGCTTTACCATATTTTTCCCCTTCCTAGCAATCTGTAAATAGATTTTCGATAGCTTTACGATGGTACATGTAAGTGACTCATTTTCATTTCATTGAACCTGTTTCTTATACAAAACAGTACGAAATACACACCGTTTCCAGATGCTACAGTCCCGATGGATCACTACGTGAGTGGGCGCTTTTCTTACGAATTCTCTTGCTCTTATTCACACTCTTCATCGCACTGTCGGTACCGTACCTTATAGAGTTGATGGGGCTCATCGGTAATATTACTGGTAGGTTTTACGAATTACTTTGTTTAGGTCGAACTTTCTCGAGACCCAATGAATCCTGAATGACCAAAACCTGAACTGATGAGGCGCAAACAGCGTAGCATGAAACAGCAGAACCTATAGCATCCACGCTTGCGAGAGAAAAGCGGTCCATATCGCGCGTCGCAGTCGACGCCATTACGCGGTAGAGTGCGTCACGCCAGGTCGTGCAATTGCCGGGCGCAGCATGCGTCCACAGGCGCTTTTGCACTACGCTAAGTATAACCATCAAGAGCGAGATACAACCATCCATTTGACTCCTCAGGGCAGCTAGAAGACTTGTCGTACGCTCACGCGTGCTAATGCAAAATCGAGCCTAATGTCCCACCCTCTGACTGAGACATTTCAGGCACTATGCTCTCGTTTATCTGGCCAGCACTTTTCCATTTACGTATACGCGGAGAAAAGATGGTCAACAGAGATCGTCGGTTCGACCAAATGATTATCGGATTGGGCTGTTCCATCTGTATATCCGGTGTATACTTCTCTTTCATGGAACTTTTACGAGCCATTCGTGCCAATGACCAATAATTTTCACTTTGTTGTTATTTATTGATTACGTTTGAAAGTTTTCATGTCACTAATGTAAACTGGAACCATTTTCGATCTCTAAGAGCTAGAAGCATAGATAGATAGCTGTCTAAAAGATAAAAGCAAAAGCATAAAGCATAGATGTTCTGTCTTCATTGAGGCATCAGTATTCACCTACGGTCAAGTACCTGACCTTTTCCCTTTTCGTACAAGTTTTACTGTAGGTATTTTTGTACTTAAAAACATAGTTCCCGAAAAGGGGGTAGGAGCACTTTATGCATGAAAAGAAGATCCACGGAGGGTTCAGAGAATGCTAAGGTCATAAATAGGAGTCACATCATTGCCCTAGGGCTACCACTCTTCAAACCTTTTTTTAAAAACGACCCAAAACTTCAAAAGCAACTCACTACCTAAGGGCAGCGCGCCACATGTAAGCTGAGTTGGAGCATCGAGAAAGGAACTGGCTGCAGCTGCGTGTTCTAAGAATCGACATCCCCACATCTGTTGTTAATAAATCAAATCATAGATTTTTTTATAAGGTTCTTTGTTGACAGGAGTTACTGGCCAGTCCAGTAAGCTGCACTGTTACCTTCTAAAGTATCAACACAAAAGACTTTATTGGGACCCAAGAAAAACTAAAAATGACATTATGGAGCTTTTTGTACAATGACCTGGTAATATAGGTACTACCTATACATACTGAGGGATGTGATGAGAACCACAAAAGAAGAATCATGTATACACATAATGATGTTGGAAGAGATGGAAGCCAATTTGAATTTGATTCCTATTTTGTCCATGATACCTTCGGGATATCGTTGAACTCCGTTAGTTCGCTCATTTGCTTATTAAATTCTTCCACTCGTTGTCGATGACTTACAGCGGCTTTCTTCAGCATCCTCTCGTTCTAAAGTATTATTCATTACTAGCGGAAAACAACAATGGTAAGGAGGTCTTCAGCGGGAAGGGCACCATAAAATCATGAAATAACAAAGCAAAGACGGGCTGAAAAATGCTACTTCGCTCTGCAGCCAATTTGGTACTTAGCAACTAAGCAGGCCCTTTGAGCGCAGATATAATAATAATCACATGACATGAAAAATCTAGCGTATGGACTTTTTCGAAACAAAAATACTAAACCAGTGAAGAAAACAACTCACTAGTGTTTCCTGTCGTCTCTTCTCAAATGCTATCTCCGCTTTCGTCTTGCCAACGGTTCCCGTCTGCTCGTCCTTTTTAATTGTCAAATCGATCATCTTTGGATCAACTGTCTTCTTCTTTTTCTTCTTGAATACGTCCCCCTTCTTCAGCTTTAAGCTGCCTTTGATTACAACCTCATCAAGTGCCATTTCTGTAAGCTAAAGTTAGCAAAGATTTGCAAATGTATGTAATGACAACGAATAAAACAACGACGGGGTGTAACAAGTGTCAATGGTAGGTGAGGCGGATTTAACCACAAACTTCAACGCAAAATCAGCAAAAATCCAAATATTTATTATGTACAAGTACCGTAAAAAGAACTCTGAATAGAGATCAAAACCTAGGCTAATTTACTAGCATCTTCATAGGGCACACGGACAGTTCGACCATTCATTGGACCTTCCGAAATACGGAGATTCAAACAAAAGGCATCCTGATCCAGGCTCTCCAATTTCTGAAATATATGGATTCAATCCAAGGAACGAGAACAAGAAAAAAAGAAACCAGAAGATTAGATTGCTGTAAGGAGAGAGAAATCGCTTGCGAGAGATCAGAATTTTACTGTCTGAGAACACAAATGTCTGTCTGGTTTTAAGAGCAAAGCAAAACCACTGCCTAAACCAAATCTGGTCAGGGCCATACTCTCTTTTGAGACATTGACTACATCCATCATCAGGGCCACAACAGGGAATATTCAAGGAAAGGAGTGGTCATGAATGTATCTCAACGAGTGACAGTTAAGGACGATGGTATGATGGACTTTTTGCAATTAAATAATGAAGTTCTGTTCCAAAACATAGTAAAAATAGGGAAAAATCTTTCAAAGAAGGGGCAAGAACTTACAGCAACACAACCTCGATAGGCGCCGTTGACAATTTTCATTTCTCGTCCAACATTCGGTATTACTGTCTCCACGTGTGCTTGGTCCAATTTAACGAGGGTTCCTTGATATGTGAAACAAAAGTTAACAAAAAGAAAAAAGAAAAAGAAGGGATGAATAGAACATGAATATGTCAAACAAGAAAAAAATTAAAAACCTACCATCGTCTAATTTAACGCTTGCAGTGTAGTCATCAATGAGCGATTTTACCACTCCTTTCGCTTTGTAGTAATCATCTCCTAACTTCTTCGTAATTATCTGGAAGTATGCAGGAATACAGACAGACCCAAGGGAGACTTGATTGATTATTGGGGAAGGCGTGATTCAAACGCACTTTGACGATGATACCCTCATGGAGCCAGTGATCCTTTCTATTCTTCTTCTCTTTGAACCGTTCCTGTTGTTCCCTAATCTCATCGAGCGCCGACTTTTTAGGTTTTTCATCTTTCTTGGAAGTCGACGGACGTTCCTTTCCACTACCTAAAAATGGCAAAAGTGTTCACTTGTGTCCCTTAGGAAATGAAAAGCTGACTCAAACGCACTTGTAGCCCGACGATCTCGTTCTTTATCATTGCTTCTACTACGACTCCTATGCTCCCTTTTTGTCTCACGACTTCGCCTGTCTCTTTCCCGATCACGGCTTCGACTACGACTTCTGTGTTCCTTCTTCGTGTCGCGATCTCGTCGATCACGCCTTTCTTCTCTGTCCCGATCTCGTTGGCTTGAACTTGGTAAATCTTCATCACTTGCTGGCTCTTCCTTTTTTGTTTTGATCTGGTCAAAGATCGATACTCCAGTAAACACAGGTCGCTTCAAATCCTGGAATAAAGACGACTGAACTGCTTATAATACTGTTTACTTTCTGGACCAAAAAGCATTGACCGATTGAAAATCAACTCCCTTACTTCAGCGGTCGGCTTTTTATCCAAATTCAGATTCAGAGTAATCTTCTCACTATCGTCAGACCTCATGAGTTCTGTTGCTTGAGGCTCGTACACCTCCCCTTGCTGTTCTAATGCTCTGAAATGACAAAAAACAAAAATTCTCATCTAACGAAGAGCCTGCATAAATACTGATGTGATCTGCTCATGAAACGAGTAGGAATACAGCAAACAACTCCACATATGGCAAATATAAGAGTTTTAACGCGTTTAAAAAGATCAGGGAGGTCCTACCTCCGAACTTGCGCATTGATCATTTCCTGCTGCCGTTCCTCATCATCTTTCTCAGCTTTCATTCGCTTAGCCTCCTCAGCTTTCCTGAGCACTTCTTCCTGGTCAATATATTGGATATACCAACCTAAAAAGAGTCAGTTAGATTTCTATAAAAGACAATGTTGGACAAATGATGCAGTGCAATTGAACAGAAGGCGAAATGTAGCTCACTGAGCGTAAGGAGTAGAATATTGAATAATAATCACCTTTCTCGTTCTGATCTATCTTACACTTGCCACTCTTACCCAGGTAGAGCACAAAGCCTGTAAGTGTGTGCCATACTGTTGCGTTCATGTGGACGTGCCCCTAAATTTACTAAGCTTTAAAGATATTTTGTTCGGAAAAACTTGCAAAAATTGAAGAAAAGCCATTAAGATCCCGTAATAATAATACATCAACAAATAATAGTAAAGAAAAGTAAAGAAATAAACATTATTTTCGAAGCAACAGTAACCCCAAAAAGACAACTTCTGAAGACAGAATAGAAATTCTGCAGGGAACACAACAGAAAGTTAATAAGCAAAACAGATTCCCTACTTTGTCTTTGATGTATTCCTGATAAACTTCATTGGCACGAACTCTCTTCGTTCCAAAACAGGTCTTGAGAATCTAAAAAAAGACGTCATAATTGTCGAAGGCTCTTCAGGTATTGCGCGAAAAACGAAAGAAACGCTCTAGTTGGAAGATTACTTTGTCCTAAAAAATCCATACTCATTACGTGAGCTAATATCAAAAAGTCAAATAGTACTAATCAATCCCATTATCAACGAATCAAATAAGAAGAAACGTGAAAGCGCTCTAAGCTGAGTCCTTGATATATGTAAATCAAATTACCTGCATGAAATTGGCTTCAAAATCTCTGCTGAACTGCCTCAGAAAAGAGTTGGTATTCTCTGCGACGAGTAAAAGCTGCCGCTGATGTGATTCCGAAGTAAGATGACATTTGAAACCGTTCTGATCACGACACTGTTTTTGACACATTTGACAGAACCTGCAACAGAATGCTTAAAGTAACACGAAGTACAAGCCACTATATTACTAATAAAAGGTATTATGAACAAAAAATAATAAAAAAATAAATGTTCAAAAAACTCGGTGAAATATAAAGTAAACATTAAACACAAAGGAAAAACGTTTTGAAAATAATACGTACCATCGAAGCTTTTGAAGTCCTTTAGATTTGATTCTGTTAGCAATATCTTTCGGTGTTCCTCTTTCATGTTTCCCCATTATCTAAAAAGAAGGTAAAAAGGAAGTAAATACTGAAAACAACAATCAACAAAAGAGAGATGGTCCAAGGAGTTCTCGTCGGTTACTTCAATAAACGAAAATGGTGCAGGCGGGTGCGTCGCAGCTTCGCATTGGAGCACGATATTCAATGAGCATTGAATTATTCTCACGACTACGACTACTTAGCTCAAGTCTGATGCAGAGAGGTGGTATGGGATAATACACCGAACTTTGCGCTGAGTATTTCAGAGCTCTTAGGCCTCTTAGGCTTACGCTCTCACCGCTGATGGTAGTTACGTCGTAGAATATTGGAGACAGAACACTGATTCTTGGAATCCAACGTACCTCAAGTACGTGAAAAAGTGAGGATAGTACCTTGCGGAAGGTGATCCATCTATATTTTTACATACTTTCTATCATAGTTATATCGTTTAGGCATCAAACCAAAAATTTATGGGTACATCAGCGTAAATATTGTCGAGAACACAGCCTTCAATCGAAACTAAAACTTAAGTCTCAGATACTGGTACTCCACTGGTAGCCATGTTGCTTATCTCGAGTTGTGATAACAATAACTGCAGACAGTTGATCCCGGGGGCCGAGTTTGCTAGCTCTGATCAGACCGCGACGCAACAGCAGTGCAGCTGACTTTGAAATTGCTGGTTTTAAGCAAAAGCTCCCCTGGCGCTACTTTGGGATCCGATAGGGTAATTCTTGGGATTTCATTACATAATCACTATTCCCATTGTATTCCAAGACCGCAAATCTCCTTGTACATATTAACGTCTTGTTAAGTGCGGGAGTAGT